GAAAGGACAAGAAAAGAGGATTGGAAAAAAAAATGTCTTCTCTGCCTTAGGAGTAGCAGTCTGACCCAGATATGGATGAGCTGGGTCCTAACCAAGGATAACAACTGTTTATCAGTCTCCTTTTGTCTTTGTAGGTGTCTGTGGACCAGGTGATTTGGCAATGATACAACCAACAACAGTCTTATTGTTTCCACCACCTACTGACCAAATCACTCTCCAGAGAATCAGTAAAAACACATTTTAGTTATCAGTGTGATTGCCTATGAAAAAGGTGGTAAAAAATTAACCTCCCTAAATAGAGGACAAGCAAAAGGAGGGAGATTTTAAAATAAAATATTGGGGTCAGAACTCAACCCACAATCTTGAAGAAACTTAGCTTAGGGAGGAAAAGCTGGCCAGGCTCTCTGTTTTTGAGTTCACACCACATTTCAAGTGAGTGGCAAGCATCCCAGCCACTGTCCATTCCTTCCCCAATCCAGCTGGCAGGAACGTAGCCAGGCATGGCAAGCTGCATGCCAAAGGCTACATAAGTGAGTCCTTTATTGTGTCATTTCTCCTCTGCCCTCCTCTGTTCAGCCAGTCCTAGGACTCTAGACCCTATCCACCCTCTCCCACACCAGTCCCTATAGACAGGAGGAACAGTATGTAAGGGGGGAAATGTCTCACCTTAGCCGTCCTGTCCCTGGAGCCACTCACAATGATACCCCCTTTGCAGTCCACACAGTTCACCTCCTGTTCATGAGCCGAGTACTTGACAGTGAAGGTGTTATGAATCTTATGAATGCCAATCTTTCCATCTCTAGGAAAGAAATAAGGAGCCCACCCCCAAGAGCCAATTATTCTCTCTGTAGAAAGAGAACAAGTCTACCGAAATAGCCCAAGTCTCCAATAATGTTCAGATTTGCCAAGCATTAGGCAGTTTGGCCCAAAAGGTGCTGAGCTTCTAGATACCCTTCCTTCTTCAGTACACTTGGGACTGAACAAAACTGAGAGAGAAAATAAACTCCCCCCTGGAGAGTATCAAAGCAGCTTCACTTTGCATTAAAGTCTCCTTTTGTTTTCCTTCTTTGGCTAACCCTATTAACAGCTTTTGGTAAATCTGTTTTCAATGTTAAAAAAAAAAAAGACAAAAAGTACACTACCCTTTCTTTTTCAGTCTCTCTCCTTATCCCTTTGGCATTAAGACAGAAAAGTCAGAGGCAATACAGCTCCCTGGAGAACACTAGGGAAGAAGTAGGAAAAAAAAAAAACAACCCTGTAGTACTTACCCTCCTGCACTGATGATATGTGAGTTGGCCAGTACAAAGTGACAAACATCCTCATCATGCCCAGGAAAGACTCTGAAGGGTCGACGGTTCAAGCTGGCACCATCTGGGCGGAACTGGTAGGTTAGGATGAAATTAGCTTGCGATATGTACAGAGAATCATCTTCTAGCTGCATCCAGGGCATCTGACTGCAGAAATGGCGGGGGGGGGGGCTGCTGATTAGACTCCGCATGGATAAGCAGAATTTACAAAATTAAGCAGTTGAGGAATAAGGAAAGTCAAAAGGAAATCTTCCATCCAGGTAAAGTAACCTTTCATTCTGCATCCTAGCTAAGTCCAACTGGTAAGTTCAAGATTCCAAGACTTCCTCATATAACCATTTCCCATAGATTAATTAAGGGGTGTGACAGTAAAAAGACGTCTTAGGAAACTTTATTACCTTGCTAGTAGGGTAAAGGGCCATTTATAAGCGAAAGGAATAGAGCCATCTAGGAAGGAATGCTGACCTGCTGAATAAATTACCTAGAACCTCCCAGGGATAGCAACATTTTTTTAACTTTAAAAAAAAAATTATTGAGAATTTCATACATGCATACATGGTGTTTTGATCAAATCCACACCACTCCTCCCATATCTCCCCATCACTTTTTTTCTGACAATTTCATGTACTCTTTATTTTATTTTTTTATGAGGATTTTTGCTACTTTAACATTCCCCCTCTGAAGCGGTAACTCTAAAATCTTTTAGGGATTAGATAAAAGCTCCCAAATACTTTTGACATTTTTGGCCTTTGGAACAGAGTACGTTGCTAGGAGGCCCAAGGACATTTTGACCTTTAGCCAAGAAACTGGCTACTTTTCTTTGGGGTCTTTTTACCCTAACTGCCTACCTAGCCAATTCCTACCTCCTATTCTTATCACACCATCCTCTGAAGAGGTTACCCAAATTGCCGATAGGGAATCAGGACGCAGACTGCTCTGGCTTCTTCCATGCTGAACAGGGATGCAGGGTAAGGCAATTGGGGTACCTTAAAGCAAGCATTATGGGAATGTGGAAGGCTGAAGCAGGAGGAACAAGAACTCAAAGCCACTCTCAAAAACATGGAGGTCAGGGGCAGCACAGGCTACAAAAGACTCTATCTCGGAGCTGGAGAGATGTCTCAGTGGTTAAGAGCACTGACTGCTCTTGCAGAGGACCAGGGTTCGATTCCCAGAACCCACATGATGGCTACAAACCATTCTTAACTCCAGATCCAGGGGAATCTGAAGCCCTCTTCTGACCTCTGCAGAATTGCATGACACGGGTGCATTTACATACATGCAGGCAATATACTCATACACATAAAATAAAAATAATAAAATAATTTTTTTAAAAAGACTATGACAAAAACAAAAGAGTGGGGAGAAGAAAAGAGGGGAGAAGAGAAGAGGCGTAGCGGGGGAGGGGAGGGGAAGACACTAGGATCTCTGGTGAGGCCTAAGCTCCTTTCCCAAGACAGACATCCCACCTGTGCCTATCCTACCCAACAGTCCTGGAGCTACCAGGTTATAAGAAAGGCAAAGGGACAGGCTGACTCATTCCCATGTACAGACAGCATCTCCCACTGCCAAGCCTGTCTGAGTAAACTGGGCTGTGTTTCTTCTCCAGGCTCCTTAAAACAAGCGTCATGGGGATATGGAAAAATTCTGCAAATTGACTTGATGAGCCATTAAGTGCAGCTTGGACTTTGTAGTAATTGAGTTTCTGCTCATGCAGCTTTTACAAGAGTATGTATGTATTATATGAAACATGCATAGAGTGTAAAGATGCCTGTATTCTTACTCATTATACACATTCCTCTTCAACATTCTTTGCATAAGTATGCAGCACACTCAAGTAAGGAGCAAACAAGAGGTGGGAATTCAGGTACTTACAGCCATCTGGTAAACAGACATTTGCCTAGGACAAGAAACCAGGTTCATACCAGGTGAACAGTGGAGAATCTTGGGGCAACCTGGTAACTGTTCTGTGTGTTTATTTGCGAAACTACCTTAAACTAGAGCCCTTGAGACCTCATGAGAAAAAAACCTTGATAGAGAAATTACTCTGTGATGTTAAAAGGTACAAATGGCTATGTGTGGTGGCACTTGCCTATAATACTAACATTGAGAAGGCTAAAGAATAAGGATGGGGGGATGGAGAGATGGCTCAGCGGTTAAGAACACTGTTCTTGCAGAAGACCCAGGTTTGAATCCCAGCACCCACATAGCAGCTAACAACTATCCGTAACTCCAGTTCCAGGGGATCCGACAGCCTCTTCTGTCCTCCACAGGCATTGCACAACATGGGTGCACTTACCTACATGCAGGCAATACACGCATACACATAAAATAAAAATAATAAGTAAAAAACAAATAAAATAAAAATAAAAAAAATAGAACCAGGCGTGGTGGCACATGCCTTTAATCCCAGCACTCTGAGTTCAAGGCCAGCCTGGTCTACATAGTGAGTTCCAGGACAGCTGGGGCTACAGGGAGACCCTGTCTCAAAAAGACCAAAAATAAATAAATGAATAAATAAATGAATAAATAAATAAAATCAATTTAAAAAATAGAAAAATTAAAAAAAGAATAAGGATGGCAAGTTTGAGACCAACCTGGGCTACACAGGAAACTCCGTTTTTTAAAAACAAACACCAGGTACAAGTGGGAATCAGAAGATAAAGTCTTTCATCATAAAAAAACATCTTTTGCAGCCGGGCATGGTAGCACATGCCTGTAGTCCCAGCACTCAGAGGTAGAGGCAGGCAGATCTCAGTTGAGTTCAAGGCCAGCTTGGTCTACATAGTGAGATCCAGGACAGCTGGAGCTTCAGGGAGACCCTGTCTCAAAAAAACAAAAACAAAAACAAAAAAACAATCTTTCTCTTTTGTAGCATCTTTATCATCATCACCACCATGTAATTCATAGGAACTGATATTAATCAAACCAGTAGCAACTGGACCCACGCTAGAGAAAGTGTCACCAGAAGCAGAAGGGACAGGTCAGCAAGAATGAGGAGTCATGAAGCTCCCAGTGCACCTCAACTAATCAACAAGAAGCACTCTTTTATAAAGAGGAATAATAATTATGAAATGCCTTAATATTGATGAAATATAAGTCTGATATCAGTAGTGCCACAACAATCATCAAATTTTCATGGCACTGGGTCTGGGAAGATGGCTCAATAGGTAAGAGCACTTGTGCAAGCATGAAGACCTGAGTTTAAGTCCTCAGTACCCATGTAAAATAATCAGGTGCCATGTAAGTGCCTGTAACCCTAGCACTGTGGGGATAAGGAGCAGAGACAGGAAGTTCACTGGGCTTACTGGATACCAGCCTGGCTCCAAATTTAGTGAGAGACCCTATTTCAAGGGAATGGTATGGAGAATGATAGAACAGGACATCCAAAGTCCTCCTCTGGCCTTTACATACCATCGTGCATACCTCCTACACACAAACATATACCACATATACATTGTTGGGGTTCTTGTGGGGTTTTTTGTTTTTTGTTTTTTTGAGACAGGGTCTCCCTATAGCTACAGCTGGCCTGGATTTACTATGGAAAGATCCACCTGCCTCTGCCTCCTGAGTGCTGGGATTAAAGACGTGCACAACGCCTGGTTTGTTTTTTCTTTAAAGAAACTTCCTGGCACTTTTTCTAATTCTACCTTCAGTAACATATATATCAAATATTTAGATCCTATTTTGCCTTTTAATAAAGTAGAGAAAATGGGGCTGAGGTATAGCTCAGTGCTAGAGCACTTGCGTAACCATTCCCTAGGTTTCAGCCCCAGCATCACACACACACACACACACACACACACACACACACACACATATTTATGTATTATGTAAACTTTAGCATGTCCACAATGGCTCATATATGGGAGCTATCTAAAAGAATTCAAGAGAAGTAACTCCCTAGAGAATACTTAAAAATAATGGTAAAACAGATTAAAAAGCTGGTTTCATTTATGCCTGATGAAGTAAGTTAACAAAGGCTGTCTTTGAGTGATAGAATTACAGATAAATTTGTTGTTGTTGCTGTTTGTTTGTTCATTTGTTTTTCAGTACTGGTAATTGCACCTAAGACCTAGCACATGTTATGCATGAACTCTACCATTTGACCTATCTCCCAAGCCCTTTTTAATTTTTAACTTTTTTAAATTTTGAGATAGGGTCTCCCTAAGTTACTCTGGCTAGCATCGAAAAGCTCTTTAACCTAGGCAACATTTGAACTTGAGTCCATCTTGCCTCATACTCTCAGCAGCTAGGATTTCAGGCCTGTATCATCATGCTCAACTGTACTTTTCTAATTCTTTTTCAAAACTGTATAGTAACTATTTATAACAACAAAGATACGAAATTTGTTAAAAACAAAGAAAGTACTTTTCTTGTAATCTTTCTTTTAAATGTGTTAGCAAGCTGTTCTGCTGGACATTGTGATACTTGAAGGATCACCAGTAGCCACCCTACCAGAGACAGCTCCTAGGATTCCATTTCTCACTTTCCATTCCAAGACGCCTTAAAAGAATCAAGAAGTACTTGCCTGCACCTCCACTTCAGCAGAATCCCCTCTCGACATCGCCCTAGTCTCCAGTTCTGAGACACTTTCACTCGTTCCTTCACTGGGATGCTGGTCATCCTATGTCCAAACAGAACAGAGAATTCAGTCACTACAACTCACTGTCAACAAGAGAAGATTCTATGGGCTTACTGAGTCAGGACTAAGAAACATCCAGAATATAACCAAATATAGGTAAGAGGAATTATAAGACCAAGAAGGATAACTCCTCTTGCCATTCTTGGTTAACCAAGAAACCCAAGGAAAAAAGCCTATCCTTTAAACTACTAGCAGTGTTTATAGTGATGTCAATCTAATGGAAAAATGAATGGCAAAAAGATCTGGAACCAGTGAAATGCCACACAAGCCTTACAACCTGAATTCCATCTCCAAAACCCATGGTGGAAGGAAAGAATTGACCTCCATGTATGGGCTGTGGCATGCAAGTGCCAGTGCATATACACACCATAATAAATAATTTTTAAAAAATTTTTAAGTAGGTCTATGGGGGGTGCAGATAGGGGAGGGAGTCTAAATATGATTAAGATGTATGAAATGCACAAAACTTCAATGACTATTATATATTGGGGGAAAAAAATTCTTTTTTGGTCTTTTTCAGACAGGGTCTCCCTGTAGCTCCAGATGGCCTGAAACCTGCTAGGTAGACCAGGGCTGGCCTTGAACTCAGAGAGATTTGCCTGCCTCTGCCTCAAGTGCTGGGATCATAGGCATGCGCTACCACGCCCAACTAGAAAATATTTTGGGGGGATACCAAAACTCCTAGGTTTCCATACAGAAAAAGATGAACCCTAACTCCTACCTTATACCAAACAGGAAAAGTTTATAGATCATAAACCTAAACATGAAATCAAAAACTATAAATCTATTAAAAAAATTTTTTAATCTGTCTAAAAATGGATATCTGCCTAGGGAGTAGGCAAAGTTTTCTTAGGACACAGAAAGCAAAAATATACAAGACTAATAAATTAGACTTTATCAAAATTAAAAACTTACGTTCATCAAAATGAAGAGTCTGGAAAAGCATTCACAAAACACGTATTTGACAAAGGACTTACATCCAGATGAAGAAATCTCTCTCCTCTCCTCTCCTCTCCTCTCTCCATCTATGTCAATCTATAGATATATAGATATCTATATATAGATGTACAGGCTAACCTTAAACTCAAAATCATCCTGTCTCAGACTCCCAAGTATAGGACTACAGACATGCACCATCGTGCTCAGCCTCCATGTTTATATATTTTTAAGAAACGAATAAGGAAATTTCCTATGTTGATAATGGGAGAAAAAATGGCACAGCCATTGTAGCAAAAGGTCTGGCAGTTTACTTTTAAAAACTTTTTTAGCTGGGCGTGGTGGCGCACGCCTTTAATCCCAGCACTCGGGAGGCGGAGGCAGGCAGATATCTGTGAGTTCAAGGCCAGCCTGGTCTACATAATGAGTTCCAGGACAGCTGGGGCTACAGGGAGACCCTGTCTCAAA